TTACCTTTAATATATATGCTGGTTCAAACACTAAATAACGTTTATAAATCATAGTCGTCTTCTATTATTATCAAATAAATAAAAGAGAGCAAAGTTTCTAGCACTAAAATAATTACCACCACAGGAAGTTATTTTGAAACGCGATTTTTTATAAGTTAGCAGCTATTATCATGCATATTCAGAGTTGTTTTGTGAACTTTCAACATTCTACTATTAAACTACAAAAAATGGAAGATTTTGCAACGAATATAAAACTTATATTGAGCATCGAAAGATTTTCCCGGTTTTTTCCCGATTCGCCTCTCAATCCCTAAACGCCCCATTTTACCGGTAACTGAATTTAGAACAGTGTAATGAGGAGCTTCTAAAGCTTCTGAATTCAGTCGACTAAATTCAGCAAAGTGTAATAAGCCTTTTAACCATATACGGTAATAATTAAAATGCACAATTCACAATATTGCGCAATATTATATTAAGTATAATCTATGATTTAATTGACCGTTTAGACTAGTTTAGAGGCCGCCTTAGCAGTTTTAATGTGTTAATTACATATAGTTAGTATTTTAACTTTAAATAATTTAGTTGTAGGTACTTATTAACTCCATGGTTATTTATTATTAAGTCAGTTGCTCAAGTCCTCAAGTCATTAAGCTGTTTTCAGCCTTTCTGTTCTGACCTTACATTAGAAACACGAACGCTTTAATATTTAAATAATAGCTAATTCTAAACTAATTCTAAAATAATCAAACCAAATCCAAAGGTCAAATCATTAATAATTCGTTATCAAATAATTATCAGATGTCGGTGAGAATTGAAAAAATCACGGAGCCCCTAACACTGGGGGAAGGGCCCCACTGGGATGAACGTCAGCAAGCGCTATACTTTGTGAGCATCCAAGATAAAACTATACACAAATATGTACCAACAACTGAAAAACATACAAAAACCAGTTTAGGTGAGTGTTTTTTCTACTTGACACAATTTTATTGTTAGTCAAGTCAACATAGAAATAAAAATGTGTACAGGACTGACTTTTAAACCATTATATTCATAATACAGATGGGAGGGTTGGCTTCATATTACCAGTGGAAGGTACAACAGACCAATTTGTAGTGGGAGTCGAACGCAAGTTCCTTTTGATACAGTGGGATGGAGAGGACGGCAGTAAAGTTGCTGTATTAAAGGAATTAGGAGAAGTAGACAAAGACAGACCTAATAACAGGATTAATGATGGCAAAGCAGATCCTCGTGGGAGGTTGTTTGCTGGTGAGAATAATTTCTTATCTTTTTAGTAACAAGTGTTCACTTATATGGACATTTGCAAGCCCAAGGATGCAACCTACAATGAAGGGCCTAAGTGTTAATAATGAAAGTACTATCAAACCACTGGCATTCTTTGACCTAGGGATCTCACAAGATAATGTAGTTTTCAAGAGACTATGAGACAAGCTACATTCTCCTCATTCCTCCATAGATACCTTGCAGTTAAATCTCATTATATCTTAGTACTGATGGCAGGGCATCTATCACAAGAGCTATATCTAGCACAAGAATCAATTTAATATAAAGGAATATTACTATTCCACAAAGGGCCAATCAAGCCCTTGTGGGTGGGATAGCACTAAGGACTTAACCCGTAGATTCTGCTTGGAAGAAGTAGAAACTATAAATCAAATAGTCTATGAGTGTAGTCCCATCAAGGATTAGAATGGATATCTTATGCAACACAATAACATCTTGGAATGGTTTGTCACAAGTTTATTTCACTGTTGGTAATGGTTTTATGCCGTCTTTGAATTCTGAAAAATTTGTACAGTGAAATAATTGGGTGAGCTAACTAATCATATACTTGAATTAGCTTAAATAGGCTTGTTGGAGCATACTAATTTTGTGGTTACACTAAAGCAGTCAGGATGCAACTTATGCACACGAACAATCAAATCAGAAAAAATAATGCTATAACTTAGTAAAACTGGAAACTAACTTGTTTCTAATTTAAGAACTACTTAAAATTTTTGTTTTTATCAACATTAGAAAAACATTGTGTTTTTATCATGATTTTCAATTTTATAATAAGTAATATAACAACCACATTCTAGATAAATTTGTCTACTCCTAACATTGTACCTGCAGTGCAGGCTCTCTGTGATCATGGTGCTTACAATAGCATCACAATATAGAGAAATAAAACAAAAATTAATGATGTTAAGAACCCATCTAAAATTATTTGTTTAAATCAATTCTTGTTTACTTGTTTGGTGAGGAGTGCAACCCAGATTTTCTTACTACTGAAGAGTGTATGTTTATTTATTTATTTTATTTTATTTATTAATCTTGAAAACATTTACACATAACAGTTTTTATTAGTATTTTATTTTTATTTATGAGTTTTTTATTTTAATATTAAGAGAGTATATGCTTTTATTGAACAAAGTGTTGTTTACAGGAACTATGGGTCATGAAGATCCTCCAGGTAACTTTGAGAGAAACAAAGCCTCTCTTTACAAATTGGATTCAGCTAAAGATGGGAAATTAGAGAAGATTATCGAAACTGTGTCATTATCAAACGGCCTTGCTTGGGACTTGAAGGAAAAGGCATTTTATTACACAGATTCCATGCAGTTTTCGATAACGAAATTTGATTATGATGTAGATACTGGAGAAATATGTGAGTTGGGATTATTTCAGGGTTAATTGAGGTTTTTTTCTTTAGTAGATAGCGCCGCTAGACATTACCGTGCGAATTACACGTAGACATCACGTCTATAGGCTCTCGTGACCACTTAACACCATGTGAGTCGCGATCTGGTTTCCTCATTTATGCTAAAAAATTCATCATGAACCTTCGTGAGTTCTAAGTTTTAATTAGACCAGTATTGTATCATTGTATGCAATTTAAATCTGTTGTCCTTAATAAAATTTTAATAATATTATTTCAGCCAACCCCAGAAACATATTTGACTTTAAACAGCGCGGTCTACAAGGCATTCCGGACGGTACAACCATCGACACCGACGGCAACCTTTGGGTGGCCGTGTTTGGAGGCTCATGCGTGCTCAAGATCAATCCTAAAAATGGAGAAATCCTACAAAAATTAGCAATTCCCGCCGAACAAGTAACTTCGGCGACTTTCGGGGGCCCAAATCTGGATATTTTATTTGTAACTTCTGCTTGTTGTAATGTTGGTAAGGAGCAGCTCCCACCCTCCGGAGCTACTTTTATGGTCACCGGGCTGGGAGTGAAAGGGCTTCCCAATGTCAGTGTCAGATTGTGAANTCCTAAAAATGGAGAAATCCTACAAAAATTAGCAATTCCCGCCGAACAAGTAACTTCGGCGACTTTCGGGGGCCCAAATCTGGATATTTTATTTGTAACTTCTGCTTGTTGTAATGTTGGTAAGGAGCAGCTCCCACCCTCCGGAGCTACTTTTATGGTCACCGGGCTGGGAGTGAAAGGGCTTCCCAATGTCAGTGTCAGATTGTGAACAACATGATTGACATTGCAAAGATAAATAACAAAGATTACATACATCATAAAGATAAAAAATAATATATTGAAGTTGTAGGTATTTATTATGAAATTTTAGTGTTTTGGAAAAAATTGTATTGAAATATTTTTGTACACTTTATTTTGATATGTTTGATATTTTGATATGCATAAGCAAATGTTATATTTTCTATATTTTAAGTACAATTAAAAGAGATTTGAAAAAAAAAACCGTTTATTTTTTTATTAATACGTTATTTATAGCCACTTATAATAAGTTCATCATTAAACATACATAGTTATAAAACAAATTATCATATTATAATAGCACATGACTTTTAGCCGATGCAAGTCTACCAAGCGGGTGAGTAATTAAGCGTGATGGATGAGTGGACACTATTGTCAGACCGGTACCTTCTGTTTTTTCATTTATTACATAGTTGGGTTGATGAGCTCACAGCCAACCTGGTGTTAAGTTTACCGGAGTCCATAGACATCTACAACGTAAATACCGCTACCCAACTTGAGATATGAATTTTAAGGTCTCGGTATAGTTACACTGGATACCCCACCCTTTAAGCCGAACCACATGACTGCTTCACGGCAGAAATAGGCAGGGTGGTGGTACCTACCCGTGCGGACTCACAAGATGTCCTACCACCAGTAAATGCGAGGAGCGCCCGACCACACTACTTAATATGAATATCTCGTTTCGATTTAGTCTGCTCAAAAATAGTTACAAAAAATGACTATCGATATTCGATTTGTAGTTTTTTTTTACATCACTGGAGACGCACGTTCACATTAGGATGTCCTTTGACCCCGAGTCCGTCCAGTCTAAAGGTAGAGCCGCAGGGCGGGAGTTGTTCTTCGCCGCGGTTCATAGAGGCGGAGGTCACGTACAACTGGTCGAGGTCCGGACCCCCGAATGTCACTGACGTGACTTGGAGCGCCGGTATCGGGATCTTCTGCAGAAGTTTGCCGCCACGAGGATCGATCTTTAACACCTGGAAACAATAAAGGCGATTCGTTTTAAACTTGGGTCACCAATTGTATATTTGTAAATATACATAATATGTTGTATGCGTATATATGTATGTGAATGTGTTATTTTTTATTTCCCGTGTAGGCAGACGAGCATACGGCACACCTGATGACGAGTGGTTACTCATGTTTCGCCCAGTGGTTCGCTCAAAGACATCAGCGATGTCAGGGGCAGAGCCATGACGCTGCCGTTAAAATATATATTGTAGTGTAGGGGAATGACACCCTGCCCTGCTTAGCTGCTGCAGTTATAGTAATGAGCAACATACGTTAGTCAGTCAGTGGTTAACGTACAGCGATCCACCGCGGTCGCTGACGCGAATAAACATGTAATTATACTCAGTGTTTTATTAACCGTTCCGATGAGGTTTCGGGAGGACAACACGCAACGGACAATCAACACACACACCGCCTCATCCGTCTTCTCCCTAAAAACCTCACAATATGTATGTGTGTGCATTTCCTAATGATTCTGGTCCAGCTGACGGTTGTCTGGCACTCTTAGCGATAAGACCGCAAATTGTACTTTTTTGTATTTACTGTTTCCTATTTATTTATTTTGTGTACAATAAAGCATACTTTCTCTTTCAATAACGCTACTGTTCTTTGCACTAGCATTTGACAAAACTAGGTATTTGATAAACAAGATACAAGAAGCACGGACGAGCAGCTCGCGGGGAGCACCCGGCGTGCTCGACACATTACGACACATTCTGGTAGAGTATTTTCGAGATCTAAATAATGTAGATTATCATGTATTTTTCTAGCAATTTCCAGTTGGACAAGCGGCAACCAGTGGCCTTTAAGTTATACACAGGTAGGTAGCACGACCCACAGACACAGCCCACTGAGTTTCCTCGCCGGGTCTTCTCAGTGGGTCGCGTTTCCGATCCGGTGGTAGATTCTGTCAAGCACTGTCCTGCGAAGCACTACTCTTGCTAGGGTCAAGTGTTAGTAACTTCGCCAGGTTTGAGTCCCGTAAGCTCATCTACTCGTCCGGTAACGCTGATATAGCCTATCAAGGCTATCAGGTTAGGTAGGAAAAAAAAGGTATCACGGAACAATAGGACACAGCGGACACAGGGCCGTTGCCTAATCTTTAGCTCCTCACTCGGGGAAATTAACTAAAATTCCAAGCGCTAATAAGTATAGTCTCACCGCCCCGCGCGTCGGCACATCACAATGCACTCACCTGTCGTCCATCAAAGTTGGCCACCCAGAGGTTACCGTCCGTGTCTATGGTCATGCCGTCCACGATACCTTCCAGTCCGTGGTCGCTGTACTTAAACACGGTCTTTGCGTTTGCTGCCAAAATAAAAGAAGAAACTGCCGTAGTCAAAATAAAACAAGGGGGGGGGAGGGGGTTTTGAGATTATCCCAAATGGATGCGTCCCACGTGCGACTATTAGCGAGGGGGGACCGCCGGGGACCCACCCTCGCCGGCCGAGGCGACGTGAGCTGGGTATACTCACCGATGCTCCCGGTCTCCACGTCGTAGTCGTATCTCCTGATGGTGTACTCGAAGGAGTCCGCGAAGTAGAAGGCGCTCCGCTGCAGGTCCCAGCAGAGGCCGTTGGAGATGTCGATGTTGGACTCGAGGCGGTGCACAGAGCCGTCCGGGTCGATGCGGTACAGAGACCCCTTCTTCAGGTCGAACTTTCCCGGTTCGTATTCGTGACCCATCGTTCCTGGGATGAGACAATGGTTAATACTGCGTCCGCTCTTCCCTTTTCATTTAATCATTCACGTATTATTATATTTTAGCCCACTGAGTTTCTCGCCGGATCTTCTCAGTGGGTCGCGTTTCCGATCCGGTGGTAGATTCTGCGAAGCACTGCTCTTGCTAGGGTCAGTGCTAGCAACACTCCGGTTTGAGCCCCGTGAACTCACCTACAAACGTTAGGGCAAAGCTGAAATAGCCTCTCAAGGCTATCAGCAAAAGTAGGAAAATTTTTTTTGCATGCAAAACGTGATTCGATTGTAGATCAACAAAAGGAAAGAAGTGATTAGCAGTACGGACAGGAACTACTCCTCACCGGCAAACAGCCTGCCCCTGGGATCAGCTTTAGCGTCGTTGAACCGATTGTTGGGGTTGTCCTGGTCCACCTCCGCGACGGTCCTGACGAGCCTGGCCGTCTGGTCTTCTCCTGTCCATTGTATCTCCACGACGAGCCTGTTCAGACCCACCACAAAATGGTGTTTCTTCCCTTCTATGGGTATAATGAAGGTTGGCTTCCCGTCTGCAGGAAACAAACGTTTTTATTAATAGCTTCCTTGTCTTCTTTAGTTGGGGTTCCAGAAAGACTAGGTTTCAACTAAAGTGCTGTTTGTTATTGAATATGGTCCGTAGATAAACTCAAAAGGCCACCTGGTGTTAAATGACACAGAGAAGTAGATATCAGGCCGTATCACCATCCACCTTGAGGCATGAGGTCGTCATCTCAATTGTGTAGCATCTAGAAATAAGCAAGATAATTAATGGATAGGATATGTAGTTCCTTAAAAGAATCCGTACCTTGGACTACCAGCGCCGCTGCATCCCGCTCCCTGCCCGTGTCCTAGACCAGGACGTGAAGGGAAGCCTCTCAAATTAACTAACCTAGTTTAGACCTCGTATGTTTCCCCGTTTCTGGCACGTACTTATGTATGGTCTCGTCGAAGATGCTGACGAAGTATAGGGCCTGCTCGTTGTGGTCCCAGTGTGGGCCCTCGCCGAGCCACACCGGCTCCGTCACAGCTTGTAACTGCGGCGCCATCTGTCTTGTGCACAGAAAAAAATCCATTGAAGCCACTTTGCAAGCTAGTTCGGCCGGTTGGTTGACATAAAAATAGAAGTGTTACATCATAAGGTCCATATCGATTTCATTCAAATCAAAAGCTTTCACGCTTTTTAATTTTTATTAAAATCCCTAATTTACGTTTTGAAGACGGAACACAACAATATCACTGTTTGCTTTTATAAATATCATACACGTAATATACACAGACAATCGTATTAGAATCTCAACGATAGAAGTGGAAAGTATTTAATAGAGGATTGAGAGGATCACACGGGCCCCGTCGGGGTGAAAGCCCATTAGCAGTAATTCCATAAACTTCATTAATTCCATTAGTTTCCTGGAGGTCTGAAGGCTTCAGTTGGAGCACGACGCTGACANGTTTGCTTTTATAAATATCATACACGTAATATACACAGACAATCGTATTAGAATCTCAACGATAGAAGTGGAAAGTATTTAATAGAGGATTGAGAGGATCACACGGGCCCCGTCGGGGTGAAAGCCCATTAGCAGTAATTCCATAAACTTCATTAATTCCATTAGTTTCCTGGAGGTCTGAAGGCTTCAGTTGGAGCACGACGCTGACATGCCCCGGCTGCCTGACAATTCCAACAAAAATAAAAAAAAACACTCATAAAACTGGGTTAAATCTATAAAATTAACTACATTATTATTGTACCTACTTGTTTTTGAGGACACATTTACAGGACATTTTTGTTTCTGCATTTATTAACAACAACTGTATTGAAGGAGGTATTAAGTCTCCGCTGTCAGTTTGACAGTAGTCAAATTACAATTGAAGGTCATTTTCTAATTGATTTGATACGGTTTACTGGACTGGGATCAAAGAGGAATTACATACCAATTTTTTTTTAAACTATCGTTACTTCATTTTCAATGCGTACCTACCTCAAAATCGCATATATTCGTTATACAATAAAACCACAAATAAATTTTTAAACCGAAATCTAAGAGATAATACATCCCAAAGTTCATTGTTAATGTTTTATTTTATTAATAAAATTAATAAATTTCGTGACTAAAATTGCTATTTTTGTTTGACTACGCAACGGTATAATTACAAGGAAATACGTCTAAACTTCAACAGTCGATAACCAGACTGGACCTCTGTATTTCCCAACAGAATTAGTTTCTTTAAAACGGGACAATCCTTATACCGGTCACTCACATTCGCACCAATACGCAAACCCGCAAGTGTAGGACGACATTTGCAAATGATTATGCAAAGTTTTCGCTGCATTCGTGGTTTTCCAAGCTGTGTCGGTTTTTTAACAGACATCAAAGCGCGCGAACCGCGATCCTTCGCGTAGTCCCCCACACATTCGTGTGACCAGTTGCGCCCAGGATTGCGAAGGCAACGGACGTTTCGCTATTTTCATAGATCTTGACATCTACTGTGTAGCGTATCTTCATCAAAAGAAATCCTATAAAAACAGCATGGCTGTTAATGATGTCTGGGAAAGAATTCAAAACTCTTTTTCTCTTCAATGTTCTATTGACGAATTAAAAAGGAGGAGAAATTCGTGAGACATTCGTAAACAAGTGTAGCAGGAAGCGCAAACGGGTTCGCAAATTGAGTACCGAACCCATTTGCACAGCCGCTAAGTTTGCGAATGAATGTTTGACGGCCCTTCACATGCGCGCAAAAATCATACATTGTACGAATGTTTGCGCGCATGTGAGTGGTCGACATTAGGATACGTCCATAGTTATATTTATTAATTCTGTAACGCCGTGATGCAGCTAGTACGTTCGAGGGTTGGCTCTTGCGGTCGTTACAAAAGTAGGGTTGCGAAAACAATCCGACGTTTCAAGATGTAAGACCCAAGACTCCATGTTGTATGAATACAGCGTCAATTAACACAAGGCACGGCCGTTCGTCTCATGCCGGTAACGGCAGCTAGTGTAACCACGACCCTGTCCCGTCTTGTTGTAGACAAGGCTTTATAATGTTCTGAAGAAATTCAAGTGTTCAATTTTTACTGGTGCTAGAATCTATTGTGAGTCTGCGCAGGTAGGTACCACCACCCCACCTATTTCTGCGGCGAAGCAGTAATGTGTTTCGGTTTGAAGGGCGGGGCAGCCGTTGTAACTATACTTGAGACCTTAGAATTTATATCTCAAGGCGGGTGGCGCATTTACGTTGTAGATGTCTATGGGCTCCAGTAACCACTTAACAGCAGGTGGGCTGTGAGCTCGTCCACCCATCAAAGCAATAAATAAAAGACAGTCGAATTGTTTGAAGTCAGTGAATTGAGAAGTCGTCGTGGCCTAAAGGATAAGACGTCCGGTGCATTCGTATGAAGCGATGCACCGGTGTTCGAATCCCGCAGGCGGGTACCAATATTTCTAATGAAATACGTACTCAACAAATGTTCGCGATTTACTTCCACGGTGAAGGAATAACATCGTGTAATAAAAATCAAACCCGCAAAATTATAATTTGCGTAATCACTGGTGGTAGGACCTCTTGGGAGTCCGCACGGGCAGGTACCACCACCCTACCTATTTCCGCTGTGAAGCAGTAATGCGTTTCGGTTCGAAGGGTGGGGTAGCCGTTGTAACTACATATATTGAGACCTTCGAACTTATATCTCGAGGTGGATGGCGCATTTACGTTGTAGATGTCTATGGGCTCCAGTAACCACTTAACATCAGGTGGGCTGTGAGCTCGTCCATCCATCTAAACAATTAAAAAAAAAAACCCGGTACATTCGTATCGAGCGATGCCACTGTGCCGATGTTCGAATTCCCCCTAGCGGAATCAATTTTTAAATGAAATATGTACTTCACATAAAGTGGCGGCTTTACGTTGTTGATGTCTATCGGCTTCACTTCGCACTAGATGTGCCGCGAGCTCGCTTATTGCTTGATGCAATAAATACCAAAAAACCCAAACGTAATCTAGCCTTTACTGACCTCATATTCATTACAATCGCAACTAGTCATTACCGGGTAACGTAAATGAGGTAATCTTAATTACTGTTTACTTTTGTTATTTTAACATTCAGTTAAAAAACAATTACAATTTTGTTCATTACTATAGATTCGTTACGTTCTTGTCTTTTGTCGGGCGAGTAAGTTAACCCATAGACACAGCCCACTAAGTTTCTCGCCGGATCTTCTTAGTGTGTCGCGTTTCCGATCCGGTGGTAGATTCTGGGAAGCACGGCTCTTGCTAGGGTTCGTGTTAGCAACAACGTCAGGTTTGAGCCCCGTGAGCTCACCTACTCGCCCGGTTACGCTGACATAGCCTCTCAAAGTAATTTTTAAAGATCTTAAATCATTTATAACGGTTCGGAATTGGCAAAGTAGATCGAGCACAAAAAACGTATGCGAATAAAGGACTTCCGTTAATTTTATCTAGCGTTTAAAGAATATATTTTGTTGGAATAGTATATCGACACGCCATACTGAGAGTCATTTTCGTAGCTTTTGAACCAGCAATAATATGTACAATGAAACCGACAAGACCATACTCGTACCATACGATATTTTAGTTTGATTCAACTCACATTAGGTTAGGCTCGAGCGCTTCTAGAACTAGACTGCAACGCGGGTTCGGTATAATCTAACCACTGAGCCGAGAGATACGCGTTTAGTATATTTATTATATCTGTAATCTAATCTTAAGCTTACAGTCGGTGAAACAGATAGCTGGCCTCCCGTAACGCGGTTAAAGTATTTTATGTTATAGCTCCTCACGATTATATCTTGTGTCCTTATACGACATTCAGAAGTAAGCTTGAAAGACGCGAATTTTTTATTTTTCCTAAAAGAATAATTTCGAGGGACGAAAAGGTATTTGGTTTGTAATAAAAGGTCCGTTTTATTTGGTATTAGCATCTATAGTTCGCTGTTTTTTATTTTTTTTTCCTACCTATGCTGATAGCCTGAGAGGCTATTTCAGCTTCGCCCTAACATGTAGGTGAGCTCACGGGGCTCAAAACGAAGTGGTGCTAATACGGTTGAGCAGTGCTTCGCAGAATCTACCACCGGATCGGAATCGCGACCCACTGAGAAGATCCGGCGAGAAACTCAGTGGGCTGTATCTGTGGGTTAATTTACTCGTCGAGCCCTTCGTCGCAAGCGACAGGTTCGGCGAGGACGATGACCGGTGTTTTTAATTGAACTTCAACTATGATTACACCATTCAAATAGTTGAAGAAGTTTCTTTTTCATTATATTTTTTTCAAAGTTTAAACTTTAAATGGCTTTCTTTTAAAGTTGCAAAATTATCGCTTAAACTCAATAACCTTTCTCCCGTCAATTATTATAACACTATATTGTTAGATGTACTCTCACTAGCTGTGTTCGACGTACCCCCACTAGCTAAACGCACTATACCGAGTAAGCCTATAAAAGCACCGTATTTGGCGCGGCTACGGCACTTGAGCATTGACCGGCGCTTGGTACGGACGTCTGCGGACTACTGTCGACCTATTTGCTTAACATTCTGTCGTGATTCCTAAAATCAGAAGTGGGATAAAGGACTCAAATAGCCCACAGTAGCGTAAAAACACGGAACTTTGTTTTGTTTTACAATTACGGCTTACTTTGATGCTTTCATACTTTATTAGTTATTTTTCTTGTGTGATTGCAAATTTTGAAAACGACATGCTTTCGCGATCACAGTGATGATAGACAGAATCGCGATACGAACTGTTATATCTTCCCCTTTGTATGACTATATTGCACTATAGACACATTAAGTCACGCACTCAGCATTTCATGCGAGAAGCTCGTATAACTTTAATAATAAAACGACAGTTCAATTTCAGCCCTCATTTGAGGTACTCGTTGCTTTCGTCATATTCAATTTTTTTTAACAATTACTAAATCTTATACTAAATCAGTTTAATATAGTGTTCAACAATTCAAATAGTTGGTGGCAGCGTGAAAGGGATCAAAAAACCTGGTCCTCGGTTCGTCTCCGTACCTGAAGTCATCACCGTAATTCTGGAAAACAGCCATACCTAGAAGGTGAGCTTTGAAAGAAGAAAAAGAAGAAAATAACCACTGTATCCTGGAAAGAATAGAGGAGAAAATTGTCAAGACACTGCGAATTCCACAGTCTCCTGTGAAAAAACAACTCATTAGATTCCACCGTCTCCTGTGAAAAACAACTCATCAAATTCCACTGTCTCCTGTGAAAAACGACTCTTCAGATTCCACCGTCTCCTGCGAAAAACAACTCATCAAATTCCACTGTTTCCTGTGAAAAACGACTCTTCAAATTCCACCGTCTCCTGTGAAGAACGACTCTTCAAATTCCACTGTTTCCTGTGAGAAAACTACACATCAAATTCCACTGTTTCCTGTGGGAAAACTACATATCAAATTCCTGTTTCCTGTGAGAAGAAAAGCAAGGCGCAAATTTTATCACATATTCAAACTCATCGCGTGAAGGAAGTCCTACTCAAGAATCAAATCATCATCATCCCGTCTCCCAGTTCTTCGTGCTCCAACTTCGAGATACTCCTCGTACTGTAAGTCCTAAGATAAGGAACTTGATAATTCACCGACTTAATTGTAACTAATCAGGTCATAAGTATTGTCACACAGTAAAAACTTTTCTTTTAGAATGCTGGCCACAAAAAAGTTTATTGAATTCGAATTTCGAATTGTTCATGAAAATAAAAATGTATACTTTTAGAATTTTACTCATTTTTAAATATGGAGTGGACGCTTAAAGAAGACAGTGTTGCAGTTATTGCGTTGCATCGTTGCGGTTACGCACCAATTCAAATTTTTAACATACTGAAAAATTTGAATATAACCAAAAGATTCGTTTATCGTACCATCAAACGATACAATGAAGACTCTAGTGTAGATTACAGGTCAAGAAGTGGTCGCCCTCGGTCTGTTAGGACTCCAGCAGTGATAAAAGCTGTGAAGGCGCGAATTCAAAGAAATCCCAACGTAAGCAGAAAACGTAAGCAGAACCACGGTGAAAAGGGTGTTAAATGAAGACTTAGGGCTTCGGGCATATCGAAGAAAAACAGGACATCGTTTGAATGCTCGTCTCATGGACCTGAGACTGAAGAGATGCCGCGCTTTGTTGAAGCGGTACGCGGGAAAAAAATATCGGGAAATTCTTTTTTCGGATGAAAAAATTTTTACCGTAGAAGAGAGCTGTAGCTTTGTTGTAACTTTGCTTTGTTGTAACAAACAAAATGATAAGGTGTACGCACACAGTAGTGAAGAAGCGAGCAACCGTATTCTGCGTGTCCAACGAGGTAATTTTCCATCCTCGCTCATGGTATGGTTAGGAGTTTCTTATTGGGGCTTAACAGAGGTACATTTTTGTGAGAAAGGTGTAAAAAAGAATGCAGTTGTGTATCAAAATACAGTCCTGACGAACCTTGTGGAACCTGTTTCTCATACCATGTTCAATAATAGGCACTGGGTATTCCAACAAGATTCGGCACCAGCTCATAGAGCGAAGAGCACACAAGACTGGCTGGCGGCGCGTGAAATCGACTTCATCGGGCACGAAGACTGGCCCTCCTCCAGTCCAGATTTGAATCCGTTAGATTACAAGATATGGCAACACTTGGAGGAAAAGGCGTGCTCAAAGCTTCATCCCAATTTGGAGTCACTCAAGACATCCTTGATTAAGGCAGCCGCCGATATTGACATGGACCTCGTTCGTGCTGCGATAGACGACTGGCCGCGCAGATTGAAGGCNACTATCGTGATTGAGCACTTCAATATCTGATTGAAGGCTATCAAATTTTGTGGATAAATTTTCAAATCTGTTTAATCTTAGTGATAGCTCAGCTACCTCAATACTGGATAACGGTGATGATTCAAATAAAGCTAAATAATTTTTAAACTTTGTTATTTGACCTTTAATAGAACTACGCCTTAGAATCAGTTCTTTGTATTTACTCATGGCTTTATCAGACCCAGTAGTCATTGTTGTATTTTTAAATTTAATTTACTTGAGTTCTTAGAATATCGTTACTTGTTTTAAAGAATGGAAAAGTTAGCAAATTATTTTTTAAATAATGAAAAAACACTCGTTCTGACTTAGCTGCAACGGTTGTTTCATTCGGGTACCGACTCACTCTCCTCCATTCGATGGCAGTCTTCGCGGTCTCGGAGCACGGCTTATTACGTGCGGTGCTGTATGTTCGGAAGCGGCGCGATCGATCGCGGGGCGAGCCTGGAAACGTCGGCCAAACGAATGAGCAGAAAGAAATAATATATTATAATCAATAACGTGCTGTTTCGTAATCAGTGACAATTAAATTGGCTAATGTTAAACTTGCTTATTGAATTTTATGACTTTTACTGTATATTAATATATTTTAAAACAATGAATTCTAATGATTTAAGATTAAACAATGATTGAATAATTATAATGTGTAGGTAGATCGCAGAATGACGCGTAAAATTGTATAGAATTTTTACGAAATGCGTGGATAGGCAGCTTGTTAACCGAAAAAACGTTTTTGAAATGAAGGTTTGATTGTTTTTTTGTATTTTAAAGCAATAGTAGCAAGATTGCATAACAATGCACTTGGTATCTTTTTGAACACGTGGATGATTTACGTAAAATTATGTTATTTATCCTTTGCACAAATGTACGAAACTTCTGATACACTGTGAAGGCAATAATTATGGATTTGATATTAAGGGATTGGGAATGTTGAAGGAAAGACACTTATCTTGTTTGATGAACGACAACGCGGTCGTGGCGAAGTCTTACTGCTGCTGCTTCGCTGCCGGATCCAGCGATCGTCCAGTACTGTGTTCCCTTTTCCTCTCTTTTGGCGGAGATTGCTGATGCGACGCCGTTATCTTAATGATGACTTGGCACGTCGAATGAGGCGGAACGCGTGTCCTGTCACGGTCGCCAAAAAAAAAAAGTATGTCTTATTTGATGAACGACAACGCGGTCGTGGCGAAGTCTTACTGCTGCTGCTTCGCTGCCGGATCCAGCGATTGTCCAGTACTGCGTTCCCTTTTCCTTCCTTTTGGCGTAGATTGCCAATGCGACGCCGTTATCTTAATGATGACTTGGCACGTCGTTAGAATTTCCTTTTCAGTTATGGATGAACACAATAACTCCAGTAAGAGCCAACTAATGGCAGCAGTTAAGGAAATTCTAAAGGCAAAAGAGAAAGCAATATCGATTTTGAGGAATACGAGCACCAATAACATCCGGTCAATTGAGAGAAATTCAAGAAACGTGAAAGACCCAAACCCTTTAATTACGGCAATGTCAAACATGGCATGCAAGTATCCCCTGGCTGTAAGGAAAGATTCTATAGTCAACTATGGGGTTCCAACACATCTTATAGGCCCCGAAGACTCCCACTTACATGGTAGAATTCTAGCCTCATATAAGTTAATCGATTGGTGGATCAATGAAGCAGGGGACCCCTCAAATCAATCTAAAGAAGTAATAGAAGTTTTGTGTAGGAAACATGATCAAAGTGTAGCCGACTATTTCAAAGTAGATTGGAGCAACATGACATTCCAATTTGGGAGAGTTGAACTAGAGAGAACATTCATAAGAACGCAAAAACCAATTGCAGAGCTCCCTCCAGGGATGAGGAATGAAGCTATAATTCAAGCTTTCCTTCCGGACTCTAGCATACAGAGGGATTATATCGAAAAAACAGTTCTTGACACCTTGAAAAGTAAGATGGGTGAGCTCACTTCACCTCATATGACCTGGGCCTCCCAATTAAGAATAATCAAAACTCAACTTGACCCAAAAGTTAGGTGCCTTCCTACTTTGACAGGGATGAATGATGAGGTAGCTGAGCTAAAACATGCATTGATACACATAAATTTCAAAGCTCAAAGGCTCCCCACTTCAAGTGTCATAGCAAGCATACATGGTTTGAAATTGATAGCCCAACACATGTGCTATAGAATTAGACAATTCCATTATACGGTTGCTGATGCCGTGGATTGCATGAATGCTACAACTCTAGAAGTAAAGACCCTTCCTCAATACTCAGAGACCCAGCCACAATAACCTCTGAGCCTCACATACTCTTCTTGAAATGTATCTTAGGAGAGAAAGTGTCTATGACAACAAAAATAAATGGTATTGATTTCTCCCCTTACCCTTGCAAGGTCAAAATTGTGACGAGAGAGAATCTTTCGAGAGCTCCTTATAAGGTATATCTAGGTGCTGAGAGGGTTTCCTTTAGGTCTAGTCACTGCAGAGGGAATTTTATCCATGAAGGTCCACTTTTAGTGTCAATGGTTAGCAATGCCCCAAACAAATTGTTGCTACTTCAAACTTTAATAAGTGTAGCCAGTTATTGTCGTCATAATTACGACAAAACAACCTCAAAATTCCCATCAAAAATGAGGCTTGAAGCAGGGGCTCTAACCAAATGAGACCCCAAGAATTTTTAAGAGTTAATGAGGAGCAGTGGCTTTCCTGGGTTCCAAGCCATCAGGCGGTGTTAGGCCCTTTGCGAATAGATGAGAATGTTGAGTATCAAGAGGCCCCTCCAACATATTTAAGCCCTGACGATGAACTCAATATGGTTTGTGTGCATACAGGTCAAAAAGTGGGACTACCACCAATCCCCAGAAACTTACCCCCACTTCCTGCAATAGCAGATTCAACAAGTCCTGTTTTAATGGATGCCCTATACCCAAGTAAATTGTTAAGACGAAAAATTAGATTCTTTCACACCAATCTTAATTTGCTGTTGGATAGAGTGGCAAGAGATAGGTGGGATTGGCATAATGCTTCTGTTTCCAAGTACATTCCTGATGGTATCAAGGCAAACATAGCTGCTTGCGCAGTCAATTTCATTAAAATGGCTACAACCACCCAAGATTATAACAAATTACTCATATGCTTTTGGTATTGCTTTACCTCAGAGTATGCAGGGTCCTTTACACCCACTATGACCTTTAATTTCAATGAGGTTGACCCAATTACCTTAAGAGCCAATGAAGGGACAGTCCAGGTGTCAAATACAGGAAACTTAATAATTTATGGGAAGGAATTAATTGTGTCAGAGACAGGTTACACAGACACAGGTCGTTTAATGAGGGGCATTATACCCGGTTTCAGGTTCTCTCAATACATCCCAGAAAAGCACCCAGTGAAGAGCCTGAGAACTCTACATGAGAATAGAGAGACAATCCCTCCAAGTACAAAGTATATCGTGTGGATTGCTGGTGAGAAATATTTAGCTGTGAGAGATGAGATGATAAAATATCAGATAGATAGGACCATTCAGAGGCATCTGGATTTCTTCTATTCACAGAGTGTCGAACCAAGCTCAATAATGGCATTGAAGAGAAAGTTGGATGTTGATGACTGTGAGGAACCGGAACGGAGTGATGATAGGAAAAGAGCCTGCATTGCGTCATCCACCTCCTGATTGACCTCTTTCGAAAGTAGAAATGTGCACGCACAGGGGTGGCACCTTGTAAACAAGGAATGGGTTTTAGTAGATTAATCGAATGGCTTTAAAAAAAAAAAAAAGTATGTCTACGCGAGACACTGTGGCCTTATTGTTTCTTTAATAAAACCAATTGCATTCTTGCTACTTGCTTTAATTATACAATGGTTTGGTTGTGATTGTTCGTCGATGAATCTTGGAATGTGACCTTTTCTCGAAAAGGAAGGTCTTGTGTCAATAATGATTATTGGGAGGTATCTTCAGAATGTTGTTGCATGCTGTCAGCGCGCGGTGCCGGTAGTAGTAAATATTTTGGCTAGCTTGCTGTGCTAAACGCGTCAGGCGCCGCGACAATCAGAATTATAGTAATGCAAGAAGAAAGAAATATGGTAATCTTTCCCGCGGTGTGGAAAGAAGCGGACGTTATCGGTATACATAAGCCGGGCAAACCGAAAAACGAAACTTCTAGTTACCGTCCGATTAGTCTCCTCCCGACGATAGGAAAAATTTACGAACGACTCCTTAGGAAACGCCTCTGGGACTTTGTTACCGCGAACAAAATTCTCATAGACGAACAGTTCGGATTCCGCGCTAAACACTCGTGCGTACAACAAGTGCAACGCCTCACGGAGCACATCCAGATAGGGCTAAATAAATAGGCGTAAACAAATCCCGACCGGCGCCCTTCGATATCTTCGATATCGCGAAGGCGTTCGACAAAGTCTGGCACAACGGTTTGATCTACAAACTGTACAACATGGGAGTGCCAGACAGACTCGTGCTCATCATACGAGACTTCTTGTCGAACCGTTCGTTTCGATATCGAGTAGAGGGAACTCGCTCTCGTCCCCGTCATCTGACTGCCGGAGTCCCGCAAGGCTCCGCGCTCTCCCCGTTATTATTTAGTTTGTATATCAATGATATACCCCGGTCTCCGGAGACCCATCTAGCGCTCTTCGCCGATGACACGGCTATCTACTACTCGTGTAGGAAGATGTCGCTTCTTCATCAACGACTCCAGATCGCAGTAGCCACCATGGGACAGTGGTTCCGGAAGTGGCGAATTGACATCAACCCCACGAGAAGCACAGCGGTGCTCTTCAAAAGTGGTCGCCCTCCGGACACCACTTCGAGCATCCCACTCCTTAATAGGCGCGCAAACACCTCCGCCGTTAGCCCCATCACTCACTTTGGCCAGCCCATACCGTGGGCCTCGAAGGTCAAATACCTAGGCGTCACCCTCGACAGAGGGATGACATTCCGTCCCCACATAAAAACGGTACGCGATCGCGCCGCGTTTATACTAGGACGACTATACCCAATGCTTTGTAGTCGAAGCAAACTATCCCTCCGCAATAAGGTAACTCTCTACAAAACTTATATACGCCCCGTCATGACGTATGCAAGCGTAGTGTTCGCTCACGTAGCCCGCACCCACTTGAAATCCCTTCAGGTTATTCAATCCTGATTCTGCAGGATAGCCGTCGGAGCGCCATGGTTTCTTAGGAACGTGGATCTCCACGATGACCTGGAGCTCGCCACTTTTATTAAGTATCTACAGTCGGCATCGCTGCACCATTTTGAGAAGGCGGCACGACATGAGAACCCTCTAGAACCCTGTAGAAACTACATATCCGACCCAGTAGACCGAATGGTAAACCGTCGACGTCGCCCAAAGCACGTCATTACGGATCCTCCTGATCCATTAACGGTGCTTTTAGGCACCACAAGCACCGGTCGCCGTCCTCGCCAAACCCGTCGCTTGCGACGAAGGGCACGATGAGCGAACTAACCCATAGACACAGCCCACTGAGTTTCTCGCCGGATCTTCTCAGTGGGTCGCGTTTCCGATCCGGTGGTAGATTCTGCGGAGCACTGATCTTGCTAGGGTCAGTGTTAGCAACCGGTTGAGCCCCGCGAGCTCACCTACAAACGTTAGGGTGAAGCTGAAATAGCCTCTCACGGCTAAGGCACGGAAAAAAAAAAAAAAAAAAAAGCGCTTGATCATTCTTATCCGAACCGTAGTACAGAACGGATATCTCTGTAACGTTGTTATGCTTCTCGTGAAATATACGCATCTCACCAAGTTCTCATGAAGTTTCGTTTCGGAAGCCCAAACATGAGTCATCGTCAAGAACTTTTTAAAAACATTCCGCCAGTATCTCTTCCGTCATATATTTACACCAGCATTCAATTAAAACAAACGAAAGCCCCAGATATTTTAGCAACAATCTCAAATATTGCCAATACGAACAAGAGAAATCACATTATTCACTTGTTTACCTGTAGACTTTTTAGCAACACTTTAATTAAAGAACATTCAATACCAGAATTAAAATCAAATTAAAATTAAATTAAAAGCTCAATAAAGTTGACTATGTTCTTTGATGGAGGCTCGAATGCGCACAGATCAACGCGTCGCTCAAAAGGCGGTAGCGCGAGTCTGAGCTCCCTGGCGGGACAGTGGCTTGCCATGTGACCTTACAGATGCAACATCTGTAGACTGTCATTAACGAGAGTTTTATAATTATAAGCAGAGAGTACTAGGCTATTGTATTCATTCTTGTCTTCTCAGTTTACTCAATTATGAACAGCAGCTTTAAACACATANGCGCACAGATCAACGCGTCGCTCAAAAGGCGGTAGCGCGAGTCTGAGCTCCCTGGCGGGACAGTGGCTTGCCATGTGACCTTACAGATGCAACATCTGTAGACTGTCATTAACGAGAGTTTTATAATTATAAGCAGAGAGTACTAGGCTATTGTATTCATTCTTGTCTTCTCAGTTTACTCAATTATGAACAGCAGCTTTAAACACATACATAAAAATACTAGAATACAGTTGGACTAACATTTAGCGTCTGTTTCTCCATAATATTTGAACCACCATTGAACGTTGACGACGCCCACTTGCCAAGTGCTGTGTTTCCTCTTCTCCACCAAAAAATTCATTGTTAATCCATTTGACGAGAGACATTCCTTACAACATCTTCATCGGGAAGCTGGGGCGCTGGGAACCCATATCTATTTGCCATGTTATGCAATGCACAGCAAGCATTTATGATCTTGGCCACCATATGGTGATCATCATGCAGTAATCTGTGTACCAACTAGTATCTCCAACGAGCTTTCAAAACTCCTATACAACGTTCAACAGTGTTCCTGGTACAGCAATGA